CTATACAAACACACACACCCTGCATTCATTATATACACACACACACTATACAAACACACACACTCTGCATTCATTATATACACACTATACAAACACACACACTCTGCATTCATTATATACACACACTATACAAACACACACACTCTGCATTCATTATATACACACACTATACAAACACACACACTCTGCATTCATTATATACACACACTATACAAACACACACACTCCGCATTCATTATATACACACACTATACAAACACACACACTCTGCATTCATTATATACACACACTATACAAACACACTCTGCATTCATTATATACACACACTACACAAACACACACTCTGCATTCATTATATACACACACTACACAAACCTCTGCATTCATTATATACACACACTACACAAAACCTCTGCATTCATTATACACACACACTACACAAACACTCTGCATTCACATTATACACACACACTACAAACACTCTGCATTCATTATATACACACACACACTACGCGACACACTGCATTCATTTGTATACACACACACTACACCGACACTGCGTTACCATTATATACACACACTACACAAACACACTCTGCATTCATTGCCACACATATGCACAGAGCACACTCTGCATTCATTATATACACACACACACACACTACACAAACCTGCTCTGCATTCATTATATACACACACACACACTACAAACACACACTCTGCATTCATTATATACACACACACTACACACTCTGCATTCATTATATACACACACACACACACTACACACACTCTGCATTCATTATATACACACACACACACTACACACTCTGCATTCATTATATACACACACACACTACACACTCTGCATTCATTATATACACACACACACACACACTACACTCTGCATTCATTATATACACACACACACTACACTGCATTCATTTCATTATACACACACACACACACTACACACTCTGCATTCATTATATACACACACACACTGCACCTCACACACACACACACATTCATACACCACACTGCATTCATTATATACACACACTACACACTCTGCATTCATTTATATACACACACACACTACATCTGCATTCATTATATACACACACACACTACACACTCTGCATTCATTATATACACACACACACGCACACATACACACATACACACACATTCACACCTGGAAACGCATTCATTATATACACACACACACCTACACACTGCATTCATTATATACACACACACACTACACACTGCATTCATTATATACACACACACACACTCTGCATTCATTATATACACACACACACTACACACTCTGCATTCATTATATACACACACACACTACACACTCTGCATTCATTATATACACACACACACACACTACACACTCTGCATTCATTATATACACACACACACTACACACTCTGCATTCATTATATACACACACACACTACACAAACACACACAAACACTCTGCATTCATTATATACACACACACTACACAAACACTCTGCATTCATTATATACACACACACTACACAAACACTCTGCATTCATTATATACACACACACTACACAAACACTCTGCATTCATTATATACACACACACACTACACAAACACACTGCATTCACTTAACGCACTACATTCACTATATATACACACTACACAAACACACACTCTGCATTCATTATATACATACTACACAAACACACTTCATCCACTACACACACAGCTCCCCTGTCTAAAAATACTGCATCCACTACATGTGGCATGTATATTTTGTGCATTTACCTTTAGAAATAGTTTATTTTTTCAAAATGGTAAATGTACAGAATATCGGCAAGTTATCGGCATCGGCTCTAAAAAAACAATATCGGTCGATCCCTATTTTGGTGTATAGAAAATGCCCCTGCTGTCTCACTGCTCTATTCTCTCTTTCACTTAGGAGAAAGATCACCTATTAATGCAGCAACCACACATCCCCCGGCTGTGACTCACATAATTTCACTACACACTTCCTGAAAAGGAGTCTATAGCTTCCTTTAATTACAGTGTGATTAAACTACAAATTCTAACCTCCTAATAATAATGTTTCGCGCCGGGCTGCGAGTGGGATATAATAATGTTTCGCGCCGGGCTGCGAGTGGGATATAATAATGTTTCGCGCCGGGCTGCGAGGGGGATATAATGTTACCCCGGGCAGTGAGGGGGGGATATAATGTTACCCCGGGCAGTGAGGGGGGGATATAATGTTACCCCGGGCAGTGAGGGGGGGATATAATGTTACCCCGGGCAGTGAGGGGGGGATATAATGTTACCCCGGGCAGTGAGGGGGGGATATAATGTTACCCCGGGCAGTGAGGGGGGGATATAATGTTACCCCGGGCAGTGAGGGGGGGATATAATGTTACCCCGGGCAGTGAGGGGGGATATAATGTTACCCCGGGCAGTGAGGGGGGGATATAATGTTACCCCGG